CAGTAGTTGCATACAAACTATTGGGGACTGATCTACATGACTTCATTTGTATTTTCTTGCATCCTCTTGTTACCTCGAAGAACTGGTGTCTACTAAGCCTGGACGTACTCGAGCAGACCCTTTCATAGATTTCATTCAGTGGAGCCAGTGCTCTGTGGTCTATTCATGGGTTCTGTGCATCTTGTTGCTAATTTGTCGTCTTGCTATCACAAAGTGATCTTCCCGTAGAGAATCCAGTCTCTTTGTGCCCATGTTCCTGTCCCATGTTACGAAGCCTCGATGCTAATATTAGAATAATTTATACGATTGGGTGACAATGCTCAAGCACATGCCATGGGTACAATAGCGATGCATGGTTTCGTCACACCGGATCTCTTCCGAACATCTACTATGTATGTATGTCTACATGTGCTGCATGGTGCTGCTACATGTGTAAGATGTTAATTTGTTCGTCAATAGTAGTTTACGTCAAATTCTTCGCTATCGAGTCAGGGAACTACGTCATAGGCATACGTCAAATGTCTATTGGAATCTAACCTTGGAAAAAAAGAACATTGTTTGTCGATCGGTCCTATTCGCAATACCATTTGGGACCGAATCTTACTTCGAACAGGCGTCAAAGTCTCATTTAGAAATCGTACACAAATATGGAGTTTATTACGGTTGAGCTGGACAAACCCATGTCCTTACGAGAGGACTGTGCACTAGAAGCTTGCAACGCGCTATGTGCAAAGCACTTAGATCTGCAAAAAAAAACTTTTCCCAACCACGGCGACCAGCACAGAGGCGTCCCCAACCTGACAAAAAGGTTGTTGGAGCTCATACGAGCTCCGGCTTTGACTCAGCCGAGGTTTGAACTCGGGACCTTCAGTGTGCCTAACAGGATGTTAGACTGACGTGATAACCAACTACACCACCGAGCCCTGATTTGTTGAGACAAAATCATATATAAAATTATATATTGTTAAACAATTATAATGTTGCTAAGCGATAAACTGGGACATCGCATGTCTCAGCAAAGTACAGTAGAATGTCTATCTTCCTACGGTGTATATACTCAAAACAATCACTTTATGCCTCAATTGCAAATGCAAATCAGTCTTGACGCCACAATATCGAATGACAGCTACGCTCAGGCCATGTACAGTAGGAAATGCCATTCAATGCCGTCGGGCGGAGTTCCAGGCTTTGACGCCACCAAGCCCGTCTCGGCCCGAAACAGGAGCGATACCCCGTTGCCAGCATCTCCGCGTTTTCCCCAGTCCCCGACAAATTCAAATACCGACACCAAGCTGAACTCGCAATGAGGCATGGAAACAAATGCCCCACAACAGCCTGTCGGCGCGCAGGCGGCCACCAACCCGGATGAGGACGAAGCTTCAAAGATCAAAAGGACGCAGATCGCGTGCTTGAATTGTAGGAAGAGGAAGAGTCGGTGTTTGTTGTAAGTAGTTGACAGCCCTGTCGTATTCGCGCATTGAGGCTGGCTTGAGCATCTGAGCATGCGCAGATACAGAATCCAGCGCAAATGACCTGTACCGCTGAAGCGCACAAGCTGGCCTCGAATTACAACATAAAAAGCTCAGGATACACGTTCCGGGACTGACACGGGACTGCAGAGATTCAAACAACTCTATTCCGTGCCTTCGATGTAAGCGCGACAACCTCGAATGCGTATTGGGCGGTAGCAACCGCGGTGGACGACGGGAGCGAAAAAAGAAACGTGTCGACGAATCGCAAACACAGCAGCAGTCTGAGACGCAGCCAGAAGCGCAACCACAGCAGCCATTGCCGACGCTCCCGGCGAATGCGCCAGAAAGAAGCTTCCATACTCTGGGCAATCTCGGAACTACATGGTCGCAAGATACTGTTGAACCGCAATACGGGGAAGAACTTCAGGCCGCTCAGTCAGACTCGTCAAACACAGATGAACTTCCTTTCTCGAACCTTCAGAATCCATCTGATGCCTTGGGCATACTAGCCAGAGTTGCTGGGGAATCAAGCTCGAACGAAGAGAACAATGGAAACGGTAACAGCATCCTGCATGCCAGAGGATCATCTCTCAGCATGCCGGCGCCACCAATTTCCTTCTCCTATCCGCTGCTAGATCGGGGTATCCTTACCGTCCATTCACTTTCCCAGCTGCTTGTCCGCTTTCAACAGCAGTACCATCCATTTTACCCTCTTGCTCCGGCCCATGCTTTTGAGACATCTCGTCTTTCAGATCTGGTGACTAAAGAGCAGCATCTCCTTACTGCTATCCTCTTGATCGCCTCCAAAGATCTCGTCGACGAGCCGCACATATACGAAGCATGTTCCGAGCATATGAAGAATCTAGTTTCTGCACTCGCTGCAGGAGGCGATGCTGGTATTGAAGCAGTAGAGGCTCTCCTGCTACTAGCCGAATGGGCGCCATATACCCAACGCGGCTCTGGCAAAGTTGGCAAAGGCGAAGAAGACAAGGAAAGCTGGATGCACGTTGGCCTTGCTTTGAGAATTGCATATTTTCTCGCGCTGGATCGGTACTCGTTCCGTTTCGTGGACCAACACAAGGATGAAGACCACCATCGCAAGCGCCTCATATGGACAGCAGCATATGTTTCCGATCGCCATATCAGTATTAGGATCGGGAAAGCGTTCTGGTCTCGTGGCCCTGGGCCTTTGACGACTTTGCGAAGAGAGGACTACCCCTCATTGATTCCTAAGAATCCCAATGAAGAAGACCACGCCTCTATCTTTCAAGCGAATCTGGAGCTCACACAGCTCTTCAGCAATGTGCATGACACGCTGTACTCGAATCCTAGTTCAAGTTTCCGCTCACAGATGAGCGGCAGCTACATCAAGTTTATTGACGATTTCCGGTCAGCCATGTACGGTTGGAAGAGCGTGTGGGGCACCTTGACATGCTCACCACCTCTCAAAGCATGTCTATTGATGTCGTACGATTATCTGCGTTTATACACCAACGCATTTGCTTTTCAAGCTACTGTCCTTCGAGCCCTACCCTCAACATCGGCATCCACCGACTCTCCAGCTGGTGCTCCAGCCAATACCGACATAGGCCGCATGCAAGCGCCCCAGCGCGTTTTTGTTAACAATGTAGGAGCTGTAGGCGATGCACGATTTATTTATGAAGGTCTTGATTCTGCAAAGGCCATTCTCACTACAGTCAACAACTTTGTAGATCCTGAACGCTCATTGCGGTTCATGCCACTTCGATACTATCTCTACCTGGTTTATGCAGGCGTCTTTCTCTATCGCGCTCGCTGTACTGGTGTCATCAGCGCAGACGAGGATCGTGCCATCCGCGCCATGATCAACGAAACAGTGTCCCGTCTCCAACGCAGTGCCGTTGGGTCCGGAAGCGGTGTCCAGCACCCAGGTTCTCGTTATTCTCAGCTTCTCAAACTGCTCTGGGCCAAGGTACCGAAGAAGGATAAAGCAAATCGTTCAGCATTCCACCATCCTGGCACACACATTGCCAGCACACCAGTAGATCAAAATGGCTTCCCACAACATCCGGTCCTGGGTAATCAAACCAGTCCACAAGCCAGTAGTAATGGCACAGGTGGAAGTCCAGCAATTACAGAGCAGATGGGTGATTTTGGATGGACAGACCTGAGTGCTGTCAATGAATTCGCTGTACATGGTGGCGGAAACAATACGGCGGCTGACGATGCTGCGCTTTGGAATGGGTTCCTTCCTCTTGATATGGGGTGGAATGCTCAAGGATTCGGAATCGATGGAATAGTCGACTCTAATGAGCTAGGTATGTTGTTCTAATGATAGGGGAAGAACAAGAGACTAGGGTTACTGCTGGGTGGCGCTTTGGAACTTCTTATGCTGTTTGGTATGTTTGCTTGGAATTCTCACATGCGCAAGGTGGAATAGAGGGGTAATGTCTGATACGAGCCGAGTATAAAAATACCACAATCATGAAATATGAACACCAGCAATTGATGTACTGGAAACACTTCACCACGGGAGATCCATATGTCAGAGCTGGGTCCTGAGGAACTAAGTTTGTGTGTTTTTGAGGTGGCAAGACCATATACACTATAATCCCACCCTTCCACAGCGCCCTGAATGCAATCCGTATGGTAACAGTGAAATGTACAATCTTTTGCCATCTTTTGCCATGATAGCCATCTAGAAACCCGGGGGATTGAGTCGTTGACTGACCCTCGTCCACTTGGGAACCTCTGCAAACCGTCAGAATATATCCATAGGCGGCTTCCCATGCCCTTGAGTAATCCTTCAAATGCATTTGCAGCAAAATCCCATAATGTATGCCACTTACTATGTATTCCCTTGCGATACCTCTTTACTTTCCGGTCAAAAACAGTGTACTTGTCTTTCGGGAGCATCTCCTCCTCAGTAGGCATCTCTGTCTTCCAGCGCTCCACCTTCTTCATGCTTTGGCCCATTCGTCGTAGTGCGGTATCGAGAGTTGAGACGACGGAGTCGACATGTCGGAGACGCTCACGATGGCGGTACTTTTGGTGCCTGGAGAGTCGCCATGGCACTTTCCTGTGTTCCACGTTAGTGTCTCGTCTCTAGCCACATTCTGTGAGAGATGGCAATAGTGAAGGCGGAAAAGATCGATGGTGGTGAGAGCGAGCGATTGCGCAGGCGAATTGATCGTGGAGAGACGCACCATAGTAGACCGCCCGACAGCGGATTTGTGAGGCGGAAGGGACCAAACATGTTGATGTGTTGGGGTCGAGAGGCCGGGCTTGCGCAATTGAAGTCGCGATATTCTGCGCAGACACTCCCGCGGACTTCTTGGCGAACATCCCAGTTAGCGTGGGGAAGCTCAACACCGCTTCGTTCTCCTTGTAACTTTAACTCTGTCACCAACTTCACGAATTTACGAATCACAAACAACCAAAATAGGATTTTAATACACGACTGGAAAGGTGCTGCTGGACCATAAAGCAAAACAATCCTATCAGACAGCAAACCTCTACACCGAGCGCATTCGTGCGCGCATCCATAACACTCCACCATGTCGTACACATTCTCAATACTCTCACCTCTTGACGTTCCCCTTTTTACCCACGACTTTGGCACATCCCGTAGCGGTGGAACTGGTGTTGCAAATTATACACCAGGCGAACGCGCCCTTGTTCCATTCATTCTACATTCTGCGCTCGACATAGTCGAAGAAGTACAATGGGGTCCCTCCACGTCTAGCGGCTCCGCGCCAATGTATCTTAAGCACATCGACAAGTACCAGAACTGCTATGTATCATGCTGGATAACAGGCGGGAACACACGCTTTCTGTTGCTGACGAGGCCACGCGATGAAAGCCTCGGGCTTACAAGCGGAGGCGCTGGAGGTGTCAGAGGAAGCTTGGCTGGTGGACGAGCAGCACTTGGCGGAGGTGCTGGACTGTACAACCCTAGTAGTCCCGCGACCGAGGAGGCAGTCAAGAACTTCATGGTCGATGTGTATGAGGCGTGGGTCAAGACTATCATGAACCCTTTTTTCGCGGTTGGAAATGGAGAGGTGATCAAGAGTCCAGTATTCAGACAAAGGGTCGCTACTGCAGCAAAGAAATATCTATAAAGAGCGACGAGTAAGAAAGAGAAGAGAGGAAATTAAATATAGCTCTTACTATGCTGTAACCGCTTGCAACACGTATAGAGCGTATAATAATTTAAGTAAGAGACCTTAGCTCGAGATGGTGTAGAAGGAAAACCTCGAGAATAAATTCGTAAAAAGCCGGAATCTACAGCCCAATCGCTTCAGAAGCAGGGTGAATAAGATGCATGAAGGCAGCCACTACGAATGTTCGTAGATGTTGATGGAAAGCTAATTTGTCTAATACCACTGCTGAATCTGTCCATTTATGCTGGGAGAACAGACGTCGTCAAAGTGACTGTTCTCACATCTAGAGACTGGCATCTTGAATCCTTCACTTCAATAGAACGAACCTAGCGGTATGATGTACCTAAGTGATCACTATTGCGACTACCGCACCTGAATACTTCCGCATAGGTGTTTTCACTTCACCGTGCAACATGTCTATTAGAGGCCCTTCTCTTACTTTCACTTCACCAACACTAGAGCCGCTAGCAGGCTTCGCATAGTGAGCAAAATTAGATTCACAACTCACCTTCACCTTGCTTTTACTTACTTTTCTCTACCTTCTCCTGCCTACCACGATCAACTCTCTTACTTTACTCACTACTAATAATACTTACCTTAACGTCTACTCCTCATACCAATATGGTGCTAAATCTTACCTCTTCAGATCCTAGAAACGCCGAGTCGGTTGCTCTTCGTAACAAGCAGAAAGCGGAGCTAGAAAAGTTCCAGAAAGGAGTCGAAGCTGCAAAAGCTGAATTCTTCAAGGACATTGAGAAGAAGCGAGAAGAACTCCTTATCAAGCATAAACATGAGAAGCGCGATTTGGTGAACAAGGAGCAGGCAAACAGGTCAGGAACTGCGCTGCCAAAGGAGAGTGGCGATAGACCTAGGCAAACACCGGCAAACACCTCCAAGGCCTCACCATACGCAAGTACGCCTCAGGAACGCACAGTTAAGCAGACTATCTCTACACTCATAGATCTTTGCTCTGATGATGATGAGCTGGTCTTTCTGGAACAGAGGAAAGCACCGACATCATCATCTGCTTCAGCACATGCTCCAATACTGTCTAGAGACAGACCTAAGACATCCAAGGTATATAGATGGCTCTGCTAGAACTTGAATTCTTGTGCACTAATGCTTCTAGTATTCAACAGAAGCCCCAAAACCTAGACGCAGAGAAGATGTGCGGCCACAGTCACCACCTAACGCGGAAGAGCAACAGAGAACTCGCACCACTACTCTGAACGATACGAATCTTCCGAAAGATCAAACAGAACGCAAAAAGGCTCCACTACCACAAGGAGATTTTGAGATGCCAGATAGAGATGGGCCTCTACCGGAGGCTGCTCAAGGCAAGTCACGACTTATCTCAGGCTTCAACTTAAAGCTAATATTTTCACAAATTCAGTGCATACTAAGCAGCACAGTACACCTGAATCGCAGCAGCACATCAACAACGTGCTTTCGCTACCACAAAATAGCCCCTCTCTACCGCTAGGCTTCACCTCTAGAGCGCGAAAGTTGACTACCCAAGGCAACGCCTTCAAGAGACCCTTGACTCCAACTATGCGTAACCCTCTCGCCCAACATAACAGCAAATTTCCAGGGAGCTCCCAGGTGCCAATATCTCGCACACACCACCCAGATACTATACCAAGTCCGTCTAGTACCTCGGTCGCTTCTCAGAAAAGTGATTTACCTCTCCATTTTGCCAAGAAGGGCAAGGCAAAAGTAGTCGACATCAGTAGTGGCGAGGACGATGACAAAGACGGTGACAAAAATAGTGATGACGGTTTACTCTTTGACGATGAGGAGGCATTAGAAGAAGAAGAGAAAAAGAGAACAAGGGGTAAGAGAGCGAAACTCATGCCATTTGTATCTTCTATAGCTATAAGCGGGCCATCTCATACACAGAAGAGTCGATTTGGATTCCAGATCAATCCGCAATCGAAATTAAGAGCAAATCACCAAGCAGCATCATCATCAGAAACGTTGAACAGCAATGCTTATTCAGGTACACTAAATGCCCCTGTTACAATATCTTAGGATTTTACTAACTATATCGTTGCAGTTTCCACTCCGGCGGCCGCACCAGCCTACCCAACCCGAAAGGCTAAGCTTAACGCTATTAAGAAGATAGCACAAATTAGTCAACAAAGCACTGAGTTCTTTACTGAAGAGGATGTTGATATGTTAGCAGACAACTCAGACGATTCGGACGATGAGAGCGTTAGGGCTCCTGGGCGGTGCCGTATTGTCAAAGCCACAGTAGAGGATAACAGGAGCCCATTGCCTTTACCGTCAGACTCCAGCAAACATAAATTCGTGAATGGTGTCATATTTCCAACAGATGAGCAGCGCAGTGACACAAAGCCTCGTATCAAGAGGAAAGAATCCTGGCCTTGATAGCCATACAGAGAGAACAGACATTGATGGAGAGGGAACCTGTTTCTGCCGGTCACGGCACTCCATTTCAACCACTTGCATACCCTCAATATCAAACGGTAGACAGACCATCACTATTTCCCGACACACGTCAGATTGTGACGAGAAAATCTTACACGAGTAGCTAATATGTACACATATCACAAAGGAAACCGAACACGACCAAGGCGAAAAAAAGTCTAGACAAAAGGCATTGCCGATCGCAATACGAAGCTTCACATGCGTTCCTATCCCTCATTCGTTGCCCTGTTCTATCCCATTCACACTCCTTCTTACATGTCAGCTCAGCTAAACTGTCTCCACACACACATGTATGTATGTACGTAAATCCTCCGCTATGCAAGCTGCAAAGAAAGTCAGGCCGAGCACATATGTACCGTTCTGCGGTACAAACAAGTCTCGTATTTTGTATGTTAGGCCCCCGTGTCATTTTGCATAGTCCCGAAGAACTACCAAGCGTAGGGTGTGATTACCCTACTATTCTTTGGTACCCTATTTTCTCACATACATACACCCCTACACGCTCATACGAGCCAGCAAATAGAAAAAGAGAGAAAGAAAAAGAGAAAAAGAAAAACTCCGCATTCTTTCTTGCACAATCTACTTCGCCTATAGTGCAATCTTGGGGGCTGTGACCCAAGCGTCCATCTCACCGGGCCCGCTCTAGTGCGAAGGAAAACATGGTAAGCTAGTGTGGGAGAACTTCGGGCAATGCAGCCGTTGGGGGGGGGGGGGAACGCGTGCCCCCCCACCAGCCTTCTTTTTTTCTTCTATCTGTCTCTCTCCTATTTCACGTAACACCTGCTACTTTGAGTTTTGCATGTATTGTTTTGTCTATTGCCAAAACTCAACAAAAAAAGACAATGGCGTTCGTATTCTGGCACCAAAGACGCGCCCCGACACGGGTCCTACTTTTACTAGCGACGCGGCGCAAGCATGCATGCGGAGGAATTGCCGCTTAGCGGGCAGCGGTAGATTGGTGCTAGAGCACGTTGCGGCACTGCACGCACTAGGCGATTTGCTGTTACGGGGGGTGTGGACAGGACAAGGGTGTTGGGGCTGGGTGTGGGTGGGTGTGGGAAAACCGTTTTTTTCCTGCCCTTTGCGTAGCGAGCGGGCGCGCTAGGCAGCGGTTCGGCGATGGGGTCGCAAAGCAGCAACGCGTCATTGCCAAGGGTATGCAAATCTGTGTGTGTGCGTGAGAGTAGGAACCCGCATTGCTGTACCATACCACGGAGCATTGTTCGGAACGAATAAGAAGATGGGGATTGAGTGGCCGAACGCTGGTTCTTCGGCGCAACTGTCTTCCTCGCCGATATGGCCCTTTTCTCTCTGGCCTCTCTTGCTTGGACCCAGGTTCGCGGCACACGGGTCCTCAAAGTGCCGGTTCGGGATTGTGTTGCGTGCACCATCGGCATCGTATCATGTCTGAATCGCTAGTACGAGGCGGAGATCCTCTCTCTCTCAGCGTACTTTCGATTGATGGTCTTGTTTACGATGATACTAGCATCACGCGAGGTCGGTCGCGTCATGCTTCGCGTTTCATACCTAGCTAGGCACCAAGAACCGCACGATTAGGATAAGGAGAGAAGAGCAAAATATTCGGCGAGCAGAGCAAGAGCCAAGGAAATCAGATAAAGCAGTTTAAGGCCAGATATGCGGAGGACGAGCACATTCGTCAGCAAGGTCAAGCCCAGACCGAGAGAAAGCTTACGCAGATCTACCAATGGTTATTTGGCCGTATTGCGCAGTCTCGAGTCACTCACCCGTAGATTAAACCCAAGCCGAGCAAAAGAAAAAAGAAGAAAGATTAACCGCATCTACAGCAATTAGCCTTTCTCGCCTGTCGACAGACAAAAAAGCCCGCTTTGACTTCAAACCCCAGTTAAACGGGGCGCAAAAGTGTCTTCCGGCAGTTGTATGAATGGTGAAAGGAAAAATACGCCAAACCAACCATATCATCCCCTCTTCCCAAGAACTGCCATGAATCGCGTCCCGAACCAAGAAAAACAAATAAGCCCCAAAAAACTGGAAGCGAAGAAGGAAAAACCCAAGAAACTCCATCAGAAAAAGGAAGGAAGAAAACTGACTCTCACCCATCCGAAATCCCATGTCCTTAACTCAACTTTCTCCTTTTTTTTGTCCCCTCCCCCCCCTCCCGTCTTCGAATCAATCCCGTGACGCCCACTTCCTCTCTCCACCGAAATGCCAAGGTTACCCCTTCTAACACAGTTTCGCTCAACTCGTCCGCGTATATTCACACTTGCATCTTACTCCCCCTCCCCCCCCCACACCCCCCCAAAAAAAGAACAAAGTAAAGAAAAAAAGGGCGAACTGATTCATGATGACGAAAACCCCCCCACCCCAAAACCCATTTCCCTCCGTTCCGACAAGGAAAAAAAAACGGCTATTTCGCATTCGCAATGCCCTGCATCCATGTTCGATAGGGCGACTTAGCGCTTATATGCCGTAACTTAGTTTGGGGCAGAGCGGGGTGAGAAAAGAAAGATTAGGAACAGGAAAAGGTTGATCACAGGGAAGGGGGGGAGGGTTCGCTTTGGTTTCTTTACCTTTACTCTTTTGCTTTGGTATCCAGAGCAGCGAGTGCATGGGGTGAGGTTTAAAAAAATACTTCACTTGCTATGTCTGTAAAATGCCAAAGACTTCCCTCCCCCTCATGTTTACATAGATTCTATTTCCAACGTCAAGTTGACTTGCAAAGTAAAAAAAAAAAAAAAAAATAGAGCGGCGTTGCGGTTTTGGCTACGCAACTGCATGGGCGCTGTAAAGTAAAATAGATTCATATGGGGGAGAGGGAGGGGGGGGGGGAGGAAAAAAAGACCAAGTTCTACTCGACAAAGCAGGTATCCCGCAAACCCCATACACACACCCTCAGTACAAGGGTTTCCATTCCCTTTTGCCTTCCCGACGCCCTTTTTTTTTCCCTCACTCTCTCTGTGCCTCTGTGCTATGCAAACTTCCAATGCGGCCCCCAAAAAAAACCAATTGACGGGGAAAAGGGGATCAACCTTGTCCTCCTCTCTTTTTCAATTTTATTTTGGGTTCGGCGGCCGCTTCTTGTTTTATTTGGGGTGAACACAGCGGCAATGTTGTGCACGATGAACAGGGCCGGATGGATGGATCGAGGTGAGCGAGCGAGTGAGCGAAGCAAAAGCAGTCAGGGATTAGATCAAAGTAAGTAATATATGCAAGACCTCTTGAGGGGATTAGTATACAACTGGCACAAGTGGAAAAGAAAATTATGGGACTTATGTAAGATGTGACATGGGGGAGAGTGGTGGTCTCTCAGGGATGCGTCGTTGATGAAAAAAAAAAGGCAAAGTGGATGTGCGTTTTGTATTGATGTGTACCGTCTCTCTCTCTCATGCTTAATGATAGATAACTAAACGGTTTGGTTGTGTTACAAAATCACTCTATTTTGGTGACAAACTTCCTTCTCTTTCGTATCTCTCTCTCTAACCCAGACCCCCCTTCCCTTGCCCTATGCTCCTTTCATTTTAGTTTGGGGCGGATTAAAAAAAAGTCAGGCCACCCGGTGAGATGGATTGGCAAGATGCATGATGATTAAAGTCTGGGGGATGCATGCTTATCTCAAAGGTTAATGGTGGGGGGGGCCACCACCTGGTTAAAACTTACTTTGTCCGAGTTGATGGGTCGATTTTCGAGTGATAGGGATCTGGGCGGAAGAGAACAAGGCAACGAAAAAAGAGAAGAAGCGGAACAGAAGGATTGTTCATTTATGTTTATTTTTATTTCAGCAAAATACGTCTATTATATT